ACTGAAAAGACACATGCACTCACATGTTCATTGCAGTACTATTCACAGTAGCAAAGACACGGAATCAATCTAGGTGCCCATCAGCAGTGGACTGGATAAAGAAAATGTAGTACATATACACCATAGACTACTACGCAGCCGTAAAATAGAATGAAATTATGTCCTTTGCAGCAACATGGATGCAGTTGGAGGTCACTCTTCTAAGTAAATTAATGCAGGAACAGAAACCAAAATACCACATGTTCTCACTTATAAATAAGAACTAAATATTAGGTACTCAGGGGCATAAAGATGAGAACAATAGAAACTGTGGACTAGTAGAGCGGAAAGGGAGGGATCGGAGCAAAGACTGAAAAAACTAACTGCTGGATATTACCCTCAGTAACTGGATGATGGGATCATAACCCAAATCTCTGCATGCTATATACCCAGATAACAAATCTGCTTGTGTACCCACTGAATCTAAAGTAAAAGTTGAAAAAATGTTTATTTTGTAATTTGATATATTCAATGTGCTTTTCAATGTACATCAAATCTTGCCATTACATAAAAGCAACACATAAAACAAAAAAATACAATCTTACCAGCCATTTCTTGCCAAAAAAAAAGCTTAGGATAATAAAATAATAATGGTAATAGTTATAATAAAATAAAATTTATATTTCATCTTCTTTTATAGTTTGTTTTTAATCATCTATCTTTTTAATCAACTTTATTGAAAGTATACTTGTATATAATAAAATGCACATATTAATTGTATAATAAGTTTTAGCAAATATATACACACAGGCAACCATGACCAAACTCAAGTTAGAGAATAGTTCCATAAATCCAAAAGTCTTCTTCTACCCTTTTGCAATAAATTGCTACCTCCTTCTCCCACTAGGTATCCACTGAGCACTTCCCTGTCATTGTACGTTTGCTTGTCTTTTTCAGAATCATCAAGATACCAGGCAGTATCTGGATTTTTAATTCAACATAATAGCTCAGAGATTAATTCATGTTGTTGAAGATATTACTCGTGTATTTATTTCTATTCCTTAATGGCATTGCATTGCATTGCATATATATACACACATATATACACACATATATACACATATATACATATATACACATATGTATACACGTATATATACACATATGTTTGTCTTTACTCACCTGTTGGATATTTGAGTTTCCAATTTTTGGCTAATATGAAAAAAGCTGCTCAGAGTACTCCTGTACAAGCCTTTTGGTGACATAAGTTTTCATTTTTCTTGATACATAACTAAGAGAAGTGTAACCACTAGATCGTACAGTTAGTGTATGTTTAACTTTATGAGATACCACCAAACTTGTTTTCAAAGTGTAGCAGTTTACATTCTTACCAGAAATGTCTGAACATTCCAGTGGCTTTATATTCTGGTTAATACTCGATATGGTCAGGCTTTTCAATTTTAGCCATTCAAGTTGGTACATGTGGTAGTTCATTGTGATTTTGTTTAAAATCTTCCTGATGACTAAAAATGTTTCCATGTGATTTTTTGCCATAAAAATATGTTTTGTTTTGTTTCTTTTCTCATTTGAGCCAAAGTCTCACTCTGTCGCCCAGGCTGGAATGCAGTGACACTATCATAGTTCACTATCACCTCTAACCCCTGGGCTCAAGTGACTCTCCCGCCTCAGCCTCCCAAGTAGCTAGGACTAATGGCACCAGCCACCACACCTGTCAATTATTTTTAACACTTTTTGTAGAGATAGGATCTCATTATGTTGCCCAGGCTGTTCCTAAACACCTGGCCTCAAGCGATCCTCCCTTCTCAGCCTCCCAGTTCTGTGGGGTTTGAGCCACTGCTTCCTGCCTTGTTCTTCTATAGTGTTCAAATCATTTGTCCATCTTGGAGTGGTTTTTTATCTTAAATTTTTATAGACATTTTTCATTATTTAGTCAGACATATGTATTTTAAATATTGTATCTCAATGTGTGGCTTACTTTTTCAATTTGTATGGAATTCAACTTATTTCTCTCATTATTTGTGCTTTTTGTGCCCTTAAAATTTTGTCTTACCCCAAAGTGACAAGTATTTTCTCTGTTTTATTGTCATAGCTTTTACATTTAAAGCTATGATCCATTTTAAGTTAATATTTGTGCATGGTGTGAGGTACAGGTAAAGATCGATTTTTCTAAATGGAAAAATAATTGTTTTAATACTATCTGTTGAAAAGACAATTGTTTCTCTATTGTTTACCTTCAAGCCTTTGTCAAAGTTAATTGACCACATATTTCCAGACTCTCAGTTCTGTTCTACTGATAATATGTGTATATTTATGCCATTAGTACACTGTCTTTATTACTCAAGAATAATAATAACTCATAAAATCAGTAGCAAAAGTGCTACAACTTTGTCACTTTTTCAAAATTTCATTTTCTATTCTAGGTCCTGTTTACAATTCCTTATACATGCTAGAACCTGCTTGAACCTGTGTGGATCAGTCAAAGATTTGAGGAACGTTTATATACAGATGTAGCAGCTTACTTGCCCTGTAATTCCTTTGTTACTGGAATCTCCACTTAATTTCCAACTGCTCTGATAGTCCTGAACTCTGTCTTCTGCCACGTCAGGCCAGTAAGGTCCCCTCAGCTTTCTGTCACCTGAAGTATATATGGTTGAGCCTTGCATTGTCATTCAGTCAGTGCACTTGCAAGTTCTGTCTTTCAAGGGTAGATTCCTCTCTGGATTGTGTCCCTTTTGTTCACCAGGCTTTGGATTCTCATCCACATAGAAAGTTTTAGGGGAAGCTAGGGGATTTGGGAAGAGATTATACTCATATTTTATTTCTTACCCCATCTGTGGGTCTCTCACTTCCTGGAATTTCCCCTAAATTTTCGTTTATCCTGCCAGCCCTGAACTCTGCACTGTGCCACCTCCAGCTCCAAAGGATATAATTTTCTATTGCCATAGCTGCGGTGATTGGAGATCAACCTCTGGAAAGAAAGCCAAAGGATCTCAGTTTTGATCTGCTTCAATTGATTCTTTCAAGGGTAAAATTATCTCCAATTTCTCCCTGGTTTTGGTTACTTTCCACTGTTTTTAGAAATAATAATAAAACACAAATACATGTGCATATACATACATAAACATATCTATAATATTTAGGTTATATACACACATATGTTTTGTTTTTATTTCATATTATCTATTGAGAAGAGATTATCCTATTTCACTTTAACATTTACTGAAGCTGCCTCCAGATCCATTTTTAAATTTTTTGGACCCAGGCATCATTACTGATAGGGCTTTCACTTATGCAACTTGATAATTTCAGATCTAATAAATATTATATTGATAGATATAAATCAAAATATTAAGGGTGTATATGTGACACAAAAATCAGTTTCTACTTTAGAATTACAGAAACAATGAAATAATGAGAATATAATGAAATATTAGAGAAAACTGATTTGAATACCCTAGGAAATTGAGGCTTACAAAAGCTAAATACCTTTTAAATGTTATACATGCAAACTGTAATACTACTAGATTTTAGGCTCTTTCATTCTCTATCTAGTCTATTTTTAATACACCACAACAATGATACCATACCTTCTATTTGCACTGTTAGTTTCAGTCCATGACAACGGAAAGTTCAGATAATAGATAAACTTTGTGAGTTTTAAGGTCTCTTGCCATCTAGATAGTCTCCAAGTTCATAATCTTAGTAAAGGAAAAGCTGACCCATAGTAGTACTGAATATATGAGAAAGGATGACTATCCTTTGTAACTGCCTTTGTAATTTCATTAGACTGTCTTTGTAATCTCATTAGAATGTCTTCATATATTTCAGTTTCTTTCCATGTTGAAAATTTTCAGTGTAGTGTAATGTAATGAAGACTATCAGCTTCAAAATTAGTTAGACATGGGTTATAATCTCTACTCCGCTACTTATAAGCTATGGAATCTTGAAAACTTGCCTAATCTCCCTGAGGTCTAATTTTCTTAACAAAAATATACAATGACTAAATACATTTCGTAGCATTATTTCAAGAGTTAAATGAAAGCATATTACAACCCAAATATAATAGGGATTCCACTAGGCTCAATCTTTGCATCCTGGTTGCTTCATTAAACTGAATTTTAAAATACTACTTACAGTTCTCAAAAGAAGACAAGTATATTCTTTGTGCACAGCAAAACACTTCATCAGTATCTCTGTCACTGTCAATATCATCTAAATAGATGCAAACACCTCCTCAAATATTTATATTACCCATTTTTATCACCAAGAAAAAGTTCACTCTTACCTATGTTTCACGTTTCTTTCCAGCTCTGTTTTTTTTTTTTAATCTGTCCTGCAAGTAATATTATCTTTCTTATTCAAATATCTCATCATCATTCTTATGTCCTGTCATTAATGTACTCATTGCCCAATTCTTCCTTATACATCTATATTAATGATACTGTCCAATACATAATTGTCCTTTTATAGTGAATGTCTTAGTCAGCTTGGGCTGCCATAATAAAACACCATAAACTGAGTGGCTTAAATAACAGAAATGTTGATTTTCTTTACTGTTCTTGAGTCCACAATGTCAGATCAGGATGCCAGCATGATTGGATTCTTGTGAGCACTCTCTTCCTTGTTTTCAGGTAGCCACCTTCTTGCTATGTTCTCACTTGACCTTTCCTAGGTGTGTGCACAGGCTGAGAAAAAAAAAATTATATACCTCTCTCTTTTCCAATTCCTGTTCAATAGAGATGGTATCTTGCTATGTTGCTCAGGCTAGAGTACAGTGGCTATTCACAGAAATGATCAAAGCACACTGCAGCCTTAAACTCCTGGGTTCAAGCAATCCTCCTGCCTCAGCCTCCTGAGTAGCTGGAACTACAGGTGTGTGCCAATGTGCCTGGCTTCTCTTCCAATTCTTATAAGGCCACTAACGCCATCATAATGTTATAGGACCAACAGCTTCTTATGCCCACTGCACAGTAACATACCAGTACACCGAGACAGCAGGGTTGCAGCAGAGAAAGAGTTTAATGATCACAGGGCAGCCAAGCAAGGAGATGGCAGAAAACACCAAAATCCATCTCCCCAAGGAATATACTGATCTGGGGTTTTTAAGAAAATTGTGGAGGGGATGGGACAGGCAAATTGGAATCATTGATTGGTCAGGGTAAGGAGACTGAAATCATTAGGATGTGGAAACTGCATTCTTTGTGTATGTAAGCTTCTTGTTGGGTCATTCAGATCAGCTGATGTCAGTAGTTTCATTGGTATGCAGGACCTAAAAGAATATTTCAATGGGAAAGATTAACATTTCATAATGTATAAGTTGTCATCAATAGAGCAGTTAAGGAGAACTATAACCTATGGTCTATATGATTTTCAGACAATAGGCAAACACAATGAGGAAGCAGGTCAGAGAGAAAGTTGACGTGATGATTAATGCCGCATATGCTCAGGCTTGGTTTATTTTCATTTTATTCCCTCCCTTCCCTGATTAATTTTGTAAAGTTTAGAGGGATGGTTTCAATAACGGATCCACCCTCATGACTACTCTAACCTCCCATAGGTCCCATCTCTAAATGTTATTACGTTGGAGATTACGTCTTCAACATACAAATTTTGAGGGGATACCTTCAGTCCACAATGGTGAGTAGGTGGGAATTGAACAAGCACTAACAAGCAAAGGAGGTAGTAAACTCTTTCAAAAATAACTTACCCCTGTTTCTCTTTTTGCGAAATTAGCTGGGCTTTTAGAGGTCACGGTATTGAAGAATTTCCAAGCATATTGGCATGTTGAGCATTGAAGCCTGTTTAAATACGATAGGATTAAGGCAACTGACTTCTGTGTGTGCACACCCCACTCCTTTGCACAGTAGATCCCATTTAAAACTTCTCTGAAGACTTTTGGATTTAGTGATAGCTATGCTGCCTGAAATAATTCAGTCAGGAATAGATTAATAACATTCTGACTAATCTTTTATTTCCTTGTAAACCACCTCTTCCATATATGACTGTTATATAACAAGATTTGACCAAGCCCAAAGGCAACTCCATTGCAGAGAATGCACAACTTTTGTGAATAAATAGGTCATGGGACAATCTCATATGATCTTCTATACATAAAAGAAAAAGTCATATTTCCTGGTTTTATTTTTGTTCACATAGCCCCTGTTTCTAATTTAAATGAGGATTTTAAGGTTTATCCCTCAGAACTTGTAAGGGTAGCTAAGAACACAAGTGCAGAAACATTAACTGCCAAAATGTGTGGAGCTAGGGGAATATGTTAAATGATATGTTATGTTTCTAACTACCACTTTTTTCCTGTTGTTAACAATACCGAAAATGCTGTGGTATTGAAAGTGGTATTTACCAGATAATATTATAAAAATAATGTTCATTTAAATTTATCATCTGTGCAATGAATCAAAAACCATATATTGGGAGAAGGAGCAGGAAAAACCTGCTTTTGTTCTTAATGTTAGACCTTGCTAGATAAATAAATATTTGTGTGAATTAAGGTTAAGCCACTGAACCTTCCTGGGATTCAGTTCTCTCATCTATAAAATAAAAGTCAAATGGGAGGGCAGGATTATATAAGCTCTAAGGCTTCTTGTAGCATATAATTTTGTCTTCATAATTTCACACATTTTTTCATTACTAAGTTAAAAGGAACCCATGAGAAGAAGGTTAATAAGCGTAAAATGTTAAGAATATATAAAATACATGCTAATTGGCCTTATACATGGTCTAACAATCTTCTTTCTTTCACCTATATGTGATTCTGACCCAGATACAACTGACTCTAAAATCATTTTGTGCCAAACTTGTTATTCTCTCTCTTGCTTTGATCTACCTTTACTTGTCTAAAGCATCCAGTGAATGCTGGGTAGGAAGGGCTGTCTCACCGAGCAGGAAGGAGGCAGAGCAGGCTTTGGAGTCTTGAAAGACTGTGTAATTTTAGCGTAATGAAGCAGAGACTATGCCCTTAACTGTGCTGTGGGAAGCTCTGCTCTGATTCCCTTACCTTTCACAGAGTTTCAAAATATTTTGTCCTTCACCCCCAAACCTTACCACGTAGCAAACGGTTATTACCCCTTTTTGTAAAATTCCTGTTTCATATAAAAAAATAAACATATTAAGAAACTGTTGCCTACATTTTTTTCAGATAATTGCATTTATGAATAGTACAAACTTCGTATATTAGTCCTGCTTTACTATTACTGGAGAAACCTTAAAATACTTATTTTTATGATAGAAGAGTAGAAAACACACACATTTTAAATTCCCATTCACCTTCAGGATGCATCCATTCGACTCCCCAGGTCTCTCAATGTTTAACTTACCCATAACTCCACAATACACTGAATATACTATGCTCTATCTGATTAGTTTTGGAATTTGTTCTTGTCTCAGACCATACTTAATAAATATCATGCATTGGATCTTGAAGGAAATAGGGAAAAACATCTTGAAGTTAATTCTAGAAAAATTGGCCCTCACCCCCCATTATTAAATTATATTTAATTACCTGAAGTAGTTAAAAAAAGAAAGAGCTGAAGGAGAGTCACAAGTTGCTTCTTTTTAAGAATGTGACTATGAATTCATATGCATCACTTCTGCTGACATATCATTAGGTAGGGTTTAATTGCTTGGCTTTAATTTTACTAGTAGCATCACTAAGGAAATGTAGAGAGTCGGTGGGTGATCACATCCTCAGACAAATCCATCTAACTAGGAGGAAGAAAGAATGAATGTTCTAGATAACTAGTAGTACCTGCCATAGTTACTAAAATATATTTTAAATCATGCTTTTAACATTATATGTTCCTACCATGTGACTCCAAACATAGCATTACTGTAAAAAGTCTGCAAAAAAAAGTTGTAAACATTAGTGCTAGAATCAAAATTTGTTATTATCAGTCAATTCAAACCACAGTCACTTCAGTTTGAGGCAGTTTTGTATTGTGCAGTTAAATTGGGATTCACACTGGCAATCCTGGATGTGATGATGGCTTAATCAATCACTCTTTGTTGTATTTTGGGCAGGCCATTTAATGTTGTAAAATTTCAGGAAGAAAGTACAGTCTAACTCATAGAATCCATTAGAAAAATTCAAAATGATAAATATATAATTCCTGGTAAAGTATTTGTCTCACACGCCATGTGTGTTACCAATAAATGCCAGCTTTTATTATTTCATTATCAGGAACACTCAAGCAAAAGCTCTGCCACTGACATACTTTAAAAGTAGCTATTAGTTCTTGGAAGTGTTTTATCATTTTAAAAATTTATTAGGCAACATTTTAATTATTTGCCATAAGAAATTAATTGAGAGACAATGAAAAAATTTGACCTTAGGAGTGCAGAAATAGCAAGGAATGCTTCTTTTAGATGAGAAGTAGGGACAAAGCAAGAAAAATACTATTTGTATTTGTTTTACTTTTGCTTTATAACAAATTACCACAAACTTCACAGTTAATAATGCACTGATGCATTATCTCACATTTTCTGCAGGCATAAGTGCAGGCATAGCATGCCTGGATTCTTTGCTCAGGGACTCATAAAGTTAGAATTGAGAAGATGGCAGGAACTGCAATCTCATCTGAGCTTGGGGTCCTCTTCTAAGCTCACAGGTTACTGTCAGAATTAATTTCCTTGAGGGCATATGATTGAAGATCCCATTTTTTGGTAGTGGTTGGGTGGGGATCAGTCTCAGCCTCTAGACCACTCTGCTAGATGACCTCCTCCATGAGTCCCATCACAGCAGACCTGTGACAACTTCTAGAACAACTAAACAGCAGCTCTCTCATGTCTTGCTTTTTCTCATAAAGGACTCACCTACATGATCAAGTTAGTCCTATCCAAGATGATCTCCCTTTTGATAAACATCTCAAAGTCAAAAGATGTGTAACATAATCCCGAGAGTCACAAGCGTGTGATCCAATCATATTTTCAGGTTCTCACTGCTCTCAACAGGAGGAGATTCTATAAGGTGTGTACTCAGGTAATAGGAACCTTGGGGGCTATTACAGAATTCTGCATATAAATTTTAAAATAGGGCTTAAATTATGCAAACATATCTACACACTCTTAATTCAGGGACTATGCCTGCCAAAATTCTAATGAGTATGCTCACCCGTTATCAATGTATTGTCTTCCAGTTCCAAATTCATCCTTCATTTCCTGCTGTGAAGATGGATTTGGACTCTTTAGATCATTTGCCAGCTGGCATGATGTTAAGCTTGGTCATTAGAGGGCACTGGAGAGACATTTCAGGAGAAAAGACTTTTCTCCTCTTCATTCTGGTGCTCCCTTACCAGGCTCCTGCAGCAAATAATTTTCCAGCACCAAACTTTCTGTTGCATATGTTATCTCAGAGTGTTGCTCTTGCAAGGAACAACTTCTTCAGTGCTTGGCTCCTACAGGGTACATTGGTTATCAGTACCCAATAACCAAGCAGTTTCCTCTGGCACCCTTCAGATAGCTTTTTAGGAAGTGCTTCTAGTAAACTGTCTCCCCCTGTAATTCTTTCCCCAGACCTTCTCAGTTAGCGGGCATGTGATTCCAGAGGTGGGGGACATTTCTGTGAATGACATCGCCTAGCACTCCAGAGGGCAGATTTCTAGCAAGTTCTGCCAGCACAGCATCTCAGCAACTTCTCCACTATCCAGGGAGCCATAGCCACATTCTGTCAAATGAAGCCTGGATTGCAGTCCTGCAGGGAGAATGGTCATTCCTTGGGTGATTTATTTTATCCATGGGCATAAAAGCTAATACTCAAAACATGACCATCAATGAATGGATAATTTCATTAATCGTAATATTTGAGGCAAGTCATAGGGCCAATTATACTGAAAAACCTACAGGACAGTGTATTCAAGTAAAAGTAAAAAAATTCCCTATTTTACTCTAATAAATGTGCTCCCTATCTCCAATAAGTGACAACAATTCTCTGAAAAACTACTTTTGCATTTTTATGTATTAACCTTTCTACAAATACTAGCTATATTTTATTTGCATGAAAGGAGAATAAAAAGTTTAATTAAGAATAAACTACAGATTTAGTAATTCAGAACTTTTTTATTATTGTTTATTTTGATATAGATACAGTCAAACATTTATGATCTTCTATAAGTATTCTCGTGTCACAAACAATAAAAATGCCTGGATTTACTTTGCTCTAGTGAACCAAATTTAATTTTCTTTCTGTGACCCTTGTGTCACAGACATATAGAAGAAATTAATAGCTCAGTATTCTCCCTCCCTTAGTCATTACCCCTAGGAGACTCAGAAGAAAACAGTTAATTGATTAGATTTTCTAATAAAGTTAATATGCAGTTTCCTTATCACCAAAGTTCATGAAATGGAGTGTAAACATGGAAGAAATCAATTATTCCCTAGTCCAGTTTTTCTAAAGTTTGGTCCATTGAATAGCAGTTCTACAAGGCTGTTATTGAAAGAGTAACATGATTAAATAGACTTGTAAAAACTCGGTAAAAAAATAACTAGATGTTTTTACTACAAGACTTTTAGGGGCTTTAATGAGTTCAGGCCCTTGTGAGAATTTCAGACAGGGAGATATGGAATGCAACATTTACCAAACTTATTTGACCAAGAAATCCAACTTTTATAGAGCACATGTTGAAACCTGCTACTTCTTTCCAACTTACTTTATACACATAAGTAACCTGTATTCCAGAGAAGTGACTTACTGATTGTTACACACGTTTGTTAAAGAACTAGGAATGGAATCCAAGTTTGTATCCTGAAGCACAAATGCTTTGATCTCAACATCCATTCTCCAGCCCATTTTCTTCCAGTTTGAGAAAACTTTCTAACCTAATCTCAAATCTTAAATTCTTATATAATATTATAATAGAAAAATGCATTTTGCCATTTTTACTGTGAAAATTTTTTCATACTTGGGAAGAAAAAGAAAAAGGCTGATAATTGTTTCTTTAATTATGGAGGCTTTTCCTTTCTTTGCTTCTTTTTCTTTGTCTACTATAGTTCTCTCTTTTTCCTCCTACCATATTCTATATGCTGCCACAGGGAAATATATATATAACCACATTACCTAAGACCTCGTATTAACCCTGGATAATGATTTATGTCATAGGTTTTGTCTATGTGGTAGATTAGTATAGTCATTACAATTATTCTTATTATTTTTTATTTATTTTGAGATGCAGTCTCGCTCTGTTGCCCAGGCTGGAGTGCAAGGGCATGATCTTGGCTCACTGCAACCTCCGCTTTCCAGGTTCAAGCGATTCTCCTGCCTTAGTCTCTTGAGTGGCTAGGACTACAGGCAGCTGCCACCACGCCCAGCTAACTTTTGTATTTTTAGTAGAGATGGGGTTTCACCATGTTGGTCAGGCTGGTCTCAAACTCCTGACCTCAAGCGGCCTCCAAAAGTGCTGGGATTACAGGTGTGAGCCACCATGCCCGGTCATTAAAATTATGCATAACATTGCACTAACATTTTTTACATCACATCCTTATTAAATTACCACATGTATAGAAACCTTATTTAATACCAACAGCTACCACTACTGTAGGTGATAATATTACTGACTTTTACAAATTAGGAAAACAAGACTTAACATGTTTAAGTAACTTACCTAAGCTTTCACTACTAATTTTTGTTGAGTTCAATTTAAACAGTGGAAGTAGGAATTCAGATACACACCTTTAACCACTCACTATGTGGTTGGCTGAGCTTTTAACTCTCCAGCAATTAAATGTCAAACTGCTGGTCAAACTGAGATGACACTTTGATACAGTCACAAAGAAGATTAAATACTAATTGCTACAATGATGCCTAACCTGCCCTTGACAGTGATTCATTATACTCTGTCTCCTCCTGTACTTTGCTTTCTATAAAGTATCATTTTTATCTTGTCTCTCATAAATTTCACACAAAGGTAATAGTTATAGTTAACATTGACAAAACTCTGTATTGTGAATGATCAAATGATCGATATTGAACTACATAATCAGTAAATATGACAATTTTAACTTTAATAGTCTACTAGTAGGAAGGAAAAAAATTGAACATGAGTACAATATCTTATCCATACAAACGATGATACTACTAAATTTAATAATGTGAAATAATTCAATGCCATAATTGAGCATTTGAGAAATGATAACTATTATTTCTATCAACTTATAAATGGACTTTGGATTTTAAAATGCAGTTATAACTTAGAATAACCAAAACATTTCATGCTGGTTTTACTCAGAATTTAAAAGGCACTAATAATAAAGAATTGTTTGGAGATAAAGAGCAGCTTAGAGATCTTTAACTGTAATATGAATTAAAAATTAGAGAAGAAAAATGTCTATAATCACAAAAGATTATCATCTTTTCACTCTTTTCAAAAGATGTATTTCTTATTCGATATTTGAAGTTAAATAATAAATTCCCCTTTGTCTTGATTGCAAGAACAACTGTTTTAATAGATTATGGAAGTTTCTATATTTTACTTTACTGTGGTAAAGGGTACCACATTTCTAATTTAAACACTTCCTTTTAAAGAAAGGATGAAGGGGAAAAGAGAGAACAGAAGGACAGGAAAGTACAAAGCAAAATAATCAAGCCTTATTTCCATAAAATACTAGAAAGTTTCTTTTGTAAGAAAAAAAATAAAAGAAACAGTGACTAGTTCCTTAGTCCATTTTCTGCTGCTGTAACAGAATACCACAGACTGGGTAATTTATAAAGGAAAGATGTTTATTTGGCTCATGGTTCTGGAGGCTGGGAAGTCTAAGAGCATGACAACAGTATCTGCTAAGGGTCATCCCATGGCCAAAGACAAAAAGCAGAAGCAAGTGCATGAGGTACAGGGAGGCACCAGCAGCTGGACTCATTTTATTTCTTTGTTTTTACTTTACGGGGACAGGGTCTCACTTTGTCACCCAGGCTAGAGGGCAGTGGCAGGATCATGGCTAACTACAGCCTCTAATTCTTGGGCTCAAACAATCATCCCACTTCAGCCTCCAAAGTAGCTGAGACTAGAGGCATGTGCTACCACACTCCGCTAATTTTTTAACTTTTTGTAGAGACAGAGTCCCCCGATATTGTCCAGGTTGATCTCAAACTCCTGGGTTCAAACAGTCCTGCTGCCTTGGCCTTCCAAGTGCTGAGACTCCAAGTGTGAGCCACCATTTTCATCCTGGTCTCACTTTATAACAACCCACTTTTATGATGAATAACCTGCTCCCATGTTAATGACGTTAATTAATTCAAGAGGGTTCTGCCCTCATAACCTAAACGCCTCTTGTTAAGCCCCATCTCCCAACACTGTTGCATTGGCAATTACGTTTTCAACACATGAACTTTTAAGAGATGCACTCAAATCATAGAACTGAAATATGATTTTATTTTTATTTCTAGTTTGTCTGAAAATAAGAAACATAAACAAGAGCACATTCTTCTAAAGAAACAGAAGACAAAGAGATGGAAATAAGCAAGAATCTCCAAATTAGTTCAGAATCTCCAAATTAGTTCAGATTTTTATTTTATTATAGTTAAACAAGAGGACAAAACCAAAACTTTATTTTTTTTTATTTCCATAGGTTTTTAGGGAACAAGTGTATCTGGTTACATGAGTAAGTTCTTTAGTGGCGATTTGTGAGATTTTGGTGCACCCATCGTCTGAGCAGTATACACTGAACCCAGTTTGTAGTCTTTTATCTCTCACCCCTTCCTACCCTTTCCCAGATTCCCCAAAGTCCATTGCATCATTCTTATGCCTTTGCATCCTCATAGCTTAGTTCCCACTTATAAGTGAGAAAATACGATGTTTGATTTTCCATTCTTGAGTTACTTAACTTAGAATAATATAGTCTCCAATTTCATCCAAGTTGTTGTGAATGCCATTAATTCATTCATTTTTGTGGCTGAGTAGTATATATATATACTTATATATATACACACCACAGTTTCTTTATCCACTTGTTGATTGATGGGCACTTGTGGTGTATATATATATATATATATACACCACAGTTTCTTTATCCACTTGTTGATTGATGGGCATTTGTGGTATATATATATATATATATATATATATACACCACAGTTTCTTTATCCACTTGTTGATTGATGGGCATTTGGGCTGGTTCCATATTTTTCCATTGCAAATTGTGCTGCTATAAATTTCTATAAAGATTTACATGCAATATAAGAACAACATAGATGTCAACAATATCTTACGTAACAAATTTAAGTAATGTCAATAGATTCTATGTTCAGCTTGGTAATAAATGAACTTTTCACCCTGGGAAGTCATTGTACATAATTAAGCCTCAGTTCTACTGCAATAAAATAGGGTATGATGACAGAGGACAATACATCTCTTAAATTTCTGAATAACTCTGAAAAGATAAAGTGAGAAAAATTGGTGTAAAGTTTACATTATCATCTCTATTCTCCTAGATTATTTTATCATAATATTATCTTTTGCTATATCATAACATTTTCTATCCCTTGCTCCTACTGGCAAATATTCCTCATTCAATAAACTAAAATTTAAACAAGCATTGATTAATTGACTAGTTTGGGTGCCTGAGACTGTCAATAAACATAAGAGATTCAAAAACAGAGTGGGCTGAGTGCAGTGGCTCATGCCTCCAATCCCAGCACTTCGGGAGGCAGAGGTAGTCAAATTGCTGGAGCCCAGGAGTTTCAGACAAGCCTACGCAACATGGTGAAACCCTGTCTCTACAAAATATATATATATTTTGTATTATATAAAATTATATATGTATACACAGAAATTTGGCATGGTGGTGTGCACCTTCAGTCCCAGCTACTCGGGAGGCTGAGGAGGAAGGATTGCTTGAGTCAAGGAGGCGGAGGCTGCAGTGAGCTGAGATCATGTCACTGCACCCCAGCCTGAGCGACAGAGCAAGACACCATCTCAAAAGAAAAGCAACAACAACAACAAAAGAAATGAAAAAACCCAGAGTGAATAACATTTTCCAGTCTCAATGTTCTGACATAACCCTTAGAAAAATGAGAAAATACAAATAAACATAACAATTAATGCGGAAGATAGTAAGTAACCAAGTATCAAAATAATTGGCAGAGAGAAATGTAAAAGTCTGAAAAAGATACACTGTGGTGAGATTGTTTCAAAGTATTAATTGGTATGTTTTCCTCCTGCCTTATTGACTACCCTCAACCATTAGTAGCTGGCATTTTGTCTTTCTGATTTTACCCTCAATGCCATTTTAATGAGCTGCTCTAGTTTTATCTTATAAAAACTGCTGATGGTTCATTGTGCTTGAAAATTATACTATTACCCTGTTGACTTGGACCACTGACTTGCATAAGTAGCTCAGGGAAATCAAAAGAAGTCACGTCCATCTTTTTTAAATGTATCAGTTACATGCATGTGTGTCTGTTCTCCAGCCTACAAGTGAGGCCGAAGGAATGCATGCCTTCTGGCAGATATTTAGAAAATGCTGATGCACCAGCATAAAAATTTATTCTGTTTTTTTTTTTTTTTTCTGACTCCCAATGGTTGCTTGACTTATATCAGCAATGGATGATAAATAGCAGGAAAAGAATAGTCAGATAATTATATGTCTTTCCAAACTAATTGAAAACTCTGAGATTCTCCAAACAAAAATACTAATTTTTGTTCTGACTCTGCAATCATTGCTAATGATGCCATTGTGTTCTTAGACTTGTCAAAAAGTGGGAGAGATTTCAAGAATAACTGTGCTCTGAAAGGAGGATATATTCTCATCTTTCTGAACTGATTTATATTCATATAGCTGGATGCAGGAAGAAAGGGTAATGAATT